ATTGGCGACGGGGTTTTACCTTAATTCAGTGCAGTTATAACAAATTGGCGACGGGGTTTTACCTTAATTCATTGCAGTTATAGCAAGCAAACGACGACAGTTTTTATTCTGTTCAGCGCAGCTATATAACATTTTTGACTGTGTTAATTACAACCCAATTACAATGTCTATCTCTCTGGACGATCTCAAATCTATCTTGCAGCAGCAGCAAGTTCAGAATGAAGCAGCTCAACTAAAATTAATCGAAGCTCTCACTCAGAAGCTGTCCATTCAAGTTCCATCAACATCTCATTCTGACAAATATGAAAGCATCTCAAATTCCATTAGTGAGTTCAACTACGACCCAATATCTGGTCTCGTATTTGATGCATGGTTCAATCGTTACGAAGACGTTTTCCGTATTGAATGCTACATGTTTGATGATGCTGCCAAAGTCCGATTGTTACTAAGAAAACTTGGTACTGTTGAGCACAACAGATATGTTAACTTCATTCTGCCAAGAACCCACGTGAGTTATCATTCGATGAGACAGTCACCGTTTTATCACAAATCTTTGGTGAACAGTCATCCATGTTTAATATTCGGTATCAATGTTTTCAGTTGACAAAAATGCCTTCCGATGATTATGTGACTTACGCTGGCAAAGTGAACAAGGAATGTGAAAGGTTCAAACCACACGAAATGACATCAGATCAGTTCAAGTGTTTGATTTTTATTTGTGGGTTGAAGAACCCAGAAGATACTGACATACGAACTCGACTTCTGTCACTCGTGGAACAAGACCCGAAAATGACTTTACAAATGGTGACAGCAGAATGCCTACGTTTAATCAACTTGAAGCACGATACTGCTATGGTGGAGTGCAAACGACAGTCGTCTGAATTTGGTTCGATTAACACAGTGAAAAGTCCTCCGATCACCGTTAAGCACACAGAACGTCAGTCTCAAAATTCAGCTAAACCTCCTTCAGTGTGCTGGCACTGTGGTTCGTGGCATTTTGTCAAGTTCTGTCCTTTCAAGAAACATAAATGCCGTAATTGTCACCGTTTTGGACATAAGGAGGGTTACTGTCCACCGCAGAAAAATACTTCGGTGAGGAACAGAAGTAGTCGTTTCAAGCCGAAACAATCTCCTCGAGTACAGACCATTTTCACAACTTCCAAAGTCGATTTCGCCAGCAAACGTAAGTACATAACACTAGATATTAACGGCAAATATATTCGTCTTCAGTTGGATACGGCATCAGATATCACCGTAATTTCCCGAACTACGTGGCGCAAACTTGGTTGCCCACAGATTCTGCCGACCGAGCATTTCGCCAAGAATGTCTCTGGAGATATACTGAAACTCGTGGGTGAGATAAATTGCCAGGTTCAGTTTGGTGAGCATCACTTCAATGGTGTATGTTACGTTACAAACTACCATGATTTGAATTTGCTTGGTCTTGACTGGTTAGACAAGCTCCATATCTTTAATGTACCATTAAATTCAGTATGCTCTAATGTTTCGTCCTCACCACACAACGTTGTTCCCGGAGATGTATCTGATCAATCTCTCTTGCAACGCCTTCGTCAAAAGCACGCTTCTGTCTTCCAGGACAAACTTATTTATTATTATTATTGTATCCTTTAGTTCCTAGAGGAACATAGGGCTTCAGCTGCGCACCTCCATTGACTTCGGTTTTCTGACAACTTTTTCACCCTGCTCCAGGTCTGTCCACATGCTTTCATCTCCTCCTCGCATGACCTCCTCCAAGTCACCCTTGGACGACCAACTCGCCGCCTCCCTTTCGGGTTCCACTCGAGCGGCTTGTCTAGTGATGTCACTTGATGGTTTCCTCAGCGTATGGCCAATCCATCTCCATTTCTTTCTGCCTATTTGTTTCACAATCGGTTCCTGATTGGTTCGCTCCCAGAGATCCCTGTTGCTGATCTTTTCTGGCCATCTGATCTTGAGTATTGAGCGGAGACAGTTGTTAATGAAGGTTTGAAGTTTGTTTGAGATGCTCTTTATGACTCGCCAAGTCTCTGATCCGTATAGTAGCACTGACTTCACATTGGAGTTGAAAATCCGGATCTTATTTTTGATGCTGATTGCTGTTGACCTCCACACAGATTTGAGAGTAATGAAAGCTTGTCTTGCTTTTCCGATTCTGGCTTTGATGTCCTCGTCAGTTCCGCCTGTAGTTGAGACGATGCTTCCCAGGTAGGTGAAGGAGGTTGTTTCTTTCAGGTTCTTCCCATTTATGCTTATTGTGGTCTGTTGGTGTTGTTGATGTTGGCTAGGAATCTTCATTATCTCTGTTTTATCTATGTTCACGTGAAGTCCTATCTTTGATGCTTCTTCTGCCAACTTGTTACTTTTCACTTGCATATCTTCCAGTTTATGGGAAATCAGACATATATCATCGGCGAAATCCAGATCCTCCAAGTCTTTTGTGTCAGTCCATTTTATGCCTGTTCCCTCGTTGGTTGCCGTTGTCTGTCGCATTATCCAATCAATTGCAATCAGGAAGATCATTGGTGATAGTAGACAGCCTTGCCTCACTCCCGTCCTCACTTCGAAGGCTTCCGTAAGTTTCCCGTTGTGGATTACTTGGCATGCAGCATTGTCGTATAACTGTTGGATGAGGTGTATAATTGTCGATGGGACCCCGTAGTAGCGAAGTAGTTTCCAAATGACCTCTCGATCGACGCTGTCGAAGGCCTTTTCAAAGTCGATGAAGTTGAGATAGAGAGGTGACTGCCATTCCAAGCTTTGTTCAATGATGATCCGTAGAGTGGCGATTTGATCAATACATGATTTGTTTCTCCTGAATCCAGCCTGTTCCGGACGAAGTTTTTCATCTAGGGCTTGTTTGATTCTCTCCAGGATGATGCGACTTAGTATCTTGCTTGGAATGGACAGAAGCATAATTCCACGCCAGTTTTTACATTGACTTAAGTCTCCTTTCTTTGGAAGTTTGAATAAGTAACTTTTCTTCCAATCCTCGGGTACTTTGCCCTCTTTCCACACCTTCTCCAGCAGTGGTGTCATCAAGTCCGCTGTTGTCTCTGGGTCTATTTTCAAAGCCTCTGCTGGGATTCCATCTGGTCCCGGTGTTTTCCCAGCTTTAAGCATCTTGATTGCATTCAGGACTTCTGATTTCGTCGGGGGGTCAGTGTTCACTGGTAGTTCTGCTTCCGTTGTTGGTATTGCTGGACGTGTTGTAGGTGGCGGACGATTTAGAAGTCTTTTGAAGTGTTCAACCCAGTGCTTTCTCTGTTCCACCTCTTTGGTGATTGACTTTCCATTGTCGTCCTTTATTGGCTTAATCTGTGTCGAACGTTTGCCCGAAAGGTTCCTAGTTGTTTGGTAGAGTGTGGCGAGGTCTCCTTTGTCTGCACTGCAGCTTGTTCTGCTTCTGTTTGGCATCCAGCATATTCGTAGCCCCCCGTATCATCCCCAATCGAATGGACAGACTGAACGTTTCGTCAACACCTTTAAGCGTGCTTATGCAAAAGCGAAGGGGGAGGGGACAAGAGAAGAAATTTTGGATAGATTCTTGCTGCATTATCGTACGACGCCAAATCCTTCCGCCCCAAATCAGTTATCCCCAGCGGAAATTATGTTTGGCCGGAAGATCAGAACTGCCCTCGACTCAATTAAGCCTAGGCAAGTAAAGCAGGGCTGCAGAAATACAAAAATGGAAAACCAATTCAATCGCCATCACGGAGCTAAACGTCGAGTTTTCAAATTGTATCAGCAAGTTTATGTACGAGATTTCCGCTATTCACCTCCGAGATGGATTCGAGGACAAATAGTGGGGCAGAAAGGAAGGGTTTTATACAAAGTGAATGTAGAAGGATAGTTATGTGTCAGACACACAGATCACACTCTATCCAGTACCACGCAAAGGTCAACTCGACAAAGAAGAGCTCCGAAACCTTTTCAAATAGATCCAAAAAGCAAGTCCTACACTCTTTACGGGGAGAGGTGATAGGATCCCACATATTTTGGTATTGACTGTTAGTCTTGCATATATGGTATATCATCATTCCCACACATTTTGTTATTGACTGTTAATCTCGCACATATGGCATATTATCATTTCTCACACACTTTGTTATTGGCTATTAAGATCAATTATTTCAAATGCTGTTAGCTGTCCATATTGTTGTAAAATGTATTAATACCATGGCTTTCTTTATCGTTGTTGCACTTCAATACACAGTCACAGTCCAGCCTTTGTCTTTTGATATTTGCGTGCTTTGCTAAGTCGGAAGGTACGACAAGCAGATAGGCAGATTAGTTCAGGCGCAGACAGAGCAAGGTGAAAACGTCTTCATTCAATTCCCTACAGTTATAACAGAAGACCTGATCCATAAAACCAGATGAAGTATTCTAAGCAGCCTTTTAATTTCGCTCCTAATCAGGTTAACATAATCCTCTATAGACACCAGAATTTAACACTTCAGAACCCTGTAACACCATTTGATTTGCATAACACCATTATCAGTTTTGAAGGGTGTTCGTCTGCCAGGATTTAACTTCATTCAAGTTAGGTTCTGTAGGTTGACATCAATTGGAGAACCACTGGAAGTCAGGTAGGGAGTGATGAATAAATGTTTTGTTCTGCTTTGCTACTTCTGAGAGGTACTCACACTACTGGGAGTGTGTGGGAGGGGGGGGGTCAAACTCAGGATCTTCAGGTTGCCAATCAAGCCCACTGACCTGTAACTACTAAATTTCTCCAGATTTTGCTTTACATTGAAGTTTGAGTTGAAGACGTTGTCTTCAATGAAGCCTCTTTAGCTAAACTACCGTGATCATCTTGAACCTTGTACCGGATGATTCTCTGTGTTTCTAAGACCCCCAAAATATAAAAGACACCCTTGTTCCTTTCATAGAAAAGTAACTTCACAAGTCACAGTATAACATGGAAGGCGTAAAATCGATATTTACCGATAACGAGAAATAAGTTATAAGGCCGGAGAGTGAGGGAGAGAAAGTGAACTTACCCATTGGGTTTCTCATCATATCTGTTGACATGGTAACTGATTTGCCGACACCAACAACTGCTTCATTGAAGCATGACATCCTACCTTCAGTTGTTGCAGTATTTATTATGCTCTCTGGCATTGTACGATAAAATGATGAAGCATTCTCTGAAAGTTCTATAGGCTGTAAAAAGATTTAAAAATAAATAAAAAAAAGTGGTTGGTTGAGGAGAAAGAAATGCGGAGGGGGGGGCGATTCATTCTAAGACACTTTCGATGAAAAGACCTCCATCTAGATAATAGTTCTTCGAAATTTACACATCATCAATACAAACGGAGATGAAAATCCCATTTTACATGCTTTCATTTTGTATTCTTTTGAAGCTTAAGACAGAAGGGCTATTCATGCGCCATTGATCGATATAATCTCGTAATCAATTTCACTGTTATTACACAGATGAAGGCCGTATAAGTTTATTCGAAAAAACAGGCGTTTGCACTGATTACTGGATCAAGTTTAACGAAGAAGCGTTTGGCAACCGTAGACTGAGGTTTATGGATGATACATTTCGTGGGTATTTCAGATATTTAATCAGTACCGGTAAATTTGGAGGATCGTCAGTGGAATGTCGACGGCAGTGGTTAGCAGTAGAGTCCCAGATGCATGTTTCAACCCGTTTCTAATCCATTAACCACTTTAGATTACAATATCATTATATTTCAAGTAAGTTATACCATCATACAGGTGGTGGTACTCTCCAGGAAGAGACTGACACAGATAAAACCAGTGGAATATAGCAAGGGGAACTAAAATACCAACGAGGAGAAGCAAAGGAAACAATGGGCTAATCACTTCAAAGGACTGCCAGACTAGTCCAGAAATACCACCAATAGTCATAGGACTGTCAGTGAACACCGATCGTCGAACAGAAGGAGACATCCTGAATGCCGTAAATCTACTGAAAGTCATCTAGGAAGATAGCAGAGCTAGACGGAGTTCCTCCAGAACCACTGGAAGCGAATCCTCAAAAACTTGCCAGATACTCTCAAGCCACTGTGTCAGAAAGTTTCGAATAAAGGAACGCTACCTGCTGATTAGAAGAAAGATTACCTTGTCAAACTATTAGAGATGGACGACTTAAGCCTTGATTGAATGGAGGATTTCATCATAAGCTGATATCAGTTAGAGAACCACTGGAAAACCTGGAAGTACTGGATAACTATTTCGTCATCGCCTGGTACTCTTCATCAGTACGCACCTACTGGCACAGTTCGAACCCAGGACCTTCTGGTTAGAAGGCGAGCTCGTGGGCCATTGAGCCACTGGGACCTGATTCAGTGGTTCTTAAATTCTAACTTCTCTCCCAAACTAGGACAAAACAGCTGTCCGGTACTCCCAGGTTTTCGAATGGTTCTCCAGCTGATGTCAGCTCGTGATGAAATCTTCCATGCAATCAAACAAAACTCCCTAAAAAACCAATACTTGAGACCTAAACCTTATCAAAAACTGACTCGAATTATGCTCCTTTTCACGTCAAGTAGAATATTCAGTGGTGTCATCTTGGAGAGAATAAAAGATGCTTTGGATGGAAAACTCTACCCGGAACTACCTGGGTTCAAAGAAAATCAAATACCTTTCGGTTCAAGTCGTGATGGTACGCATCATCATCATCATCATCAAACAAAGCATACAATATCGATACCAGCTTCATTGACCTTGGAGAGGCCTTTGGTAGAGTTGGCCGCCAAGTGATTTCGAAACAGCTTCAACACTGTGGAGTAAGGTACCGCAAACGTTTTATATATCATAACTAAGATTAGATAGGCGATCTTAAAAGATAATTACCACGGAACCTTGACAACAAACCAACTAAGGACGTATAACCCACAAATATGCTGTAGGAAATGGACATGGAACTCGACATTCGCTAAAGAGACCATTTTGATTGGCACCATACATCAGATCCCCAAGAAGTACCCGAATGGGAATCGACAGGTTGGGCGTCCAACTGCGACACGAAACAGGTCATTCGAAGAGAAGAGGATAGCTTTTGGACATAATACTGTTAGCTAAATAAGACATCAGAGAGGATGGGCTAGTGAAGTCCTACATTCCACAAGGAATCCCAGGGATGAATGATAACAATAACAATATTATTATTAGTATCAAAATCACAATAGCTTATCACAACATGCCCCACAAGAAAAACCACAATACCATCGGCACGTGAAAGCAAAGGAGAGAACTGATAGTTTATGATCTCCAAGAACAACTGAATGCCTCTGACGAAAAGTAAATTCACTATCAAATTGAAAAAGTTAGCAACCAATGACGGTTCAGGATAAACAAAGAGAGTGGAAAATTTAAAAGGCACTATGAATGGGCAATAAGTGCAGGGTGTAGTTCTTTTAAGATTCTAGAACAAATGCAGGTAGCTTCCTGTACAGGGCCGGTCACCAGTGAGCATCCGATTAATAATCAAGTACGAATTAGACTTCTTCAAACTGCAGAAGCAATGGCGATTCACTTGCTAAGTCCTGAACTATGCATACAGAAGAAATTCGTTCAATCACTACACACTGGCAATGGACGTAATCTATCTTATTACCCGACGAGTAAATTCTACCTAATCCCTTTTTTGTCTGAGCCTTCATTAGTATTATTTTGTCTTTTCAATTGTAATATTTTACATTTTCAACTCTCTTGTTCTCCGTCCCCCCACTCCATTTAATTTCTACACCACACTACCACTGTTAGTGACCTGACCAACGCTCAATTTCTAGTCATTTATGTTACGTCATCCAACTTAATTGCTCAATTTCAGTTCTAATTTAAACGGCATTATTGTCTACTCCACTTCTACTTAGTCTCTCTCTACCTGTAATTACCTCTGTTGCTACCCTGACCTAAGTTGAAACATTTTAGTCAATTATATTACGGCGTCATCTAACTTACTAACTAACTCAACCTTACTTTAGTTGCTGATCAATTATCTAAACTTGACAAACCTCATGTACAAACACACACACACACACACGCAAAAGTAATTGTATATAAATGCGATTGTACAGCTATGTGATTGAATTCGCCGTCGAAAAGAGTCTCTTCGCTGAATGTCTTCTCTTTTTCATATAATTAATTATCAAGTAGTAGTTTGCAGGAATTTAATTGACTACAGGATTGATCACTGGCACACTTCTACATCAAGAAGTTAAGACATTCTGGTATAACCCAACCCTCAATCCTACAATTCGTTAACTCCCGTATTCTGCCTATTATTCTCTATTGGTCCCCCTTAGTTTTTCCAGGGCTGGCTAATGAAGAAAGACTATACCTTATTACGCAGGATGTTAAAGGTTGTCAGCAGGGTAAGCAACGTGCCACTTAACCAGCTTGTTAATATTCTGGTTGACAGGCACATGGACTCATGTGAAAAATGGGCAAAATCCATTTTATCTAACTCACACCACCCTCTTCATTCACAACTCTACTTCCCTTGTATCTCATCAGGCAAAACCACAAGCCTATAGAGAAAACTATATGATCGCACTGGCAAGTACAAAAGTCCAACCATACTCTACTTAGCTCGTGTTTTGTGCGATAAACAAAGCATTAGGCATGATACCTATAAGTTATTAAACAGGCAGTAGAACAACTGGATCTTGTCTTTCCAACTCATATCATTTATAGGTACAACGTTTTCTTTCTTTCTTTTGCCTTTTTCTCTTTTTTCTCTGTCATGTGCTGCTTTGCTTCTTTCTTCTGCTTGCGTCAGTAAATATGCCAGCATCTACCTTTCTAACACCTTCAAACACTCTGTTCAATTTTGGCTTTGCTATCGACTTGCCAATATGTTGTTGTCAAAACTAACTGAGATTACCCTTAATCTATGTAGGATTTTATTGTTAATGTACTAACTGGATGAAATACTGTAGTGAGATGCTAAGAATTCCATTCTGTATCACAAGTACTGTTTTGTAATAAAGCAAATTATTATTATTAATAATCAGAAGGTCCTGTGTTTGAGCCCGATGGCTGCGTACTAGTGAAGAGTCCCGGACTGAGATGAAACAGCTGTCCAGTTCTCCCTGGCCGATTTCCCAATGGTTCTCTAAATGATGTCAGCTCGTTATAAATCCTGTAACCAATCAAATCCTCTCAAACTAATTGTTATGTTGCTGCTGCTGAGTGGTTAATAGTAGTTTTCCCCGTCGCCAAATTGTTATGTATTCGTCGCTAAATTATTGTTATGTAGTGGTCGAGAATTTAATAGTCCTGACGCAAGAAGGCGGAAATCAGAAGACCACTAGGTTTGCGATGATACTTCTATTTTTCAAACACAAGGAGAATGCAAAAGTGGTATTACACCAAAGATAAGTAGTCACACAATATTGTGAGGGCGAAATATATATGAATTCCAGACAAGTGTGTGAACAAATCAATAGACAGTCTTAACATGAATGGCTAGTTATAATGGAGTGTCGATCCATATATACATAGCGAAATATAGCAGACATGTCAACAACCACACATATAATATGGATATATGTCACCAAGCAACGGACTGTCAACAAACACTCATATTATATATAATATAATATAAGGAGAATATACATTGTTAAAGGAGACAGGTTCATCAAAGTGAAATGGTCACAGACTAAGCGAGCAAACAGAAAGAGAGATCACCATACACACATATATATATATATGTGGATACATATCACTAATATATATATATATATATATGCGTCGACGTATCAATCGTAGAATAGTCACCAACTATGCACGTAGTGTGGATCCGAATCCCAGATGACACTCTCTACCTTCGAGTTTATGTGCTCGAAAAATCTACCTATATCTTTTGTTGTAAGTACAGTGTATGTGTCATTTACATACCTCCACCATACTTCCGGGGTGGGGGTGAAAAAGACTACATACATTTATAAAGAGGAATGATGATATATGCAATTTTTATTTCAATAGGGAAACTGTAAATACTTCAAATTATTATAAGAAATAAACTCACCGCACACAACGTATCACTATTCGTTTCATTAGGTTTTAAGTGACTGCTCTCTGAATGTGATTTAAAATTGTTATCTGTAGAAAATTAAAAGTAATAATAATCATTAAATAAATAAATAATCGGTAGGAAGATTTCATCAGTCTAGTTTGGGATTCTTCAGAAGCACGCGCCCACTCCACTGGGGTTCAAACCCAGGATCTTCTAGTTACAAGGTTAGCGAGCTCGTACACCATCAAGCGGCCAATGGGACCCGATGCAACACCCAGCCCACGAATTCTAACCTCTGCCAATTCATGCACAATATAACGCGACCACTTCGCAATGTCTTCTTCGATGAGTTACTGCCTCATCTTCAACCTGCTGTAACCTACTGGGTACGGCTTCCCACTAGAATCCCAGGTTAACTGCGTGAATAGGACCAGTCGCTAGTGAGCATCAGATGAATTTTCAAGTATTGGTTTTGTAGGTCTACGAGCTCATCTTTTATCCAGAAGGTCGTGGGTTCAAACCCTGATGGGTACGTACTAATGAAGAGTTTCAAATTGGGGCAAAACAGATGGCTGCCCAGCACTCGTTGCTGGTTTTCCAATGATTTTCTAACCGATGTCAGCTCATAATGAAATCCTCCAACCAATCACACTAAAAAAATCCCTACAAAAACCAATACCTGAAAATAAATAATTGAACCAACTAGTTCATCGATTTAACTGATCTAATAAAAGTGATTTTTATGGAAATGATCCAGAAGGTTACTATTGAAAAAGTGACCTATGAAGTTGTGAGAAACCATCCAATTAGGAGTTTAACGAACTTTAAACTTCCCTGTGTGGGTATAATAAAGAATACAGTGTTTTATTGTGGCGTCAGTTCATGAATTCTTTCATAGGGAAGTGTGTCCTCTCTGGCTGTTTGAGTTCCTCGGGATGCTGAGAACCTAGGACTGGAGACTATTGGTGATATGACTCAAAGTGAACGTTCTCAATGGCTCAGATGCAATGATTCTTTGTAATCTCTCAGATCTAATATGTTCTTATGCTTCACGACGCCAATGTTCATTCTCCAGCACGTTTCTGTTCATTATACCCCCTTTTGAGTCTCTTTTTACTACCTTCAAGTGCTACATGGAAGGAAAATAGCAAGTTGAACTGCTGAATGTTTGTGTAAAAATCTGTGTTGAAACTCCATTTATCAGTATCTACCCACAACCACCTGTGATCTTCGAATACTGAAGACGAAATTAATCTTTATTGATATAAGTATAAAACTTGGTCACTGTGGTGCCAGAGTATAACTCCATTATGGATAAGATTTTATTTTGATAAACTGTCACACCGTGTTGTTATACAATAATATTTACTGATGACCACGTTTCAAGCATAATTTATTACTGTTCATAATGGTATCATAATTTAATGTCTGAGACTAATAATGCTAGTAGAATATATGGGTACCATTAAAATACATAACCCAGGTTACCCCTCATATGAGCAATAGTAGATTTCAGAAATACGTCTACATATGAATTATCAAAACACTTAGCTCTAATATTATGCCCCCATTAGAAATCGTTCATACTCTAGACGAACTAACTAATTCATTTGAGATGAAAAATAAACTAAATGACATTCAACTGTAGAATAATAAAAAAATGGATAGTTTTGATATAACTAGTCCTAATCAATATGGTGGCCTTAGATGCAGTTACAAGATTACTAACTGCTTATCCCGGACTTACGCATAGGATGAAGCTGCCCAGCAAGGAAATTATTTTAGGAATTCAGTTATGGCTCGTGTCTGTTATTTTTAAATTCCTAGGCAAAATATATGCACAAACTGAAGGTGTAGCAATGGGATCACCAATATCGCCTATCGTAGCAGACATATTTATGGACAGCTGGGAAAGTAATGCTCTTAATACGTTTACTCCTACTCCAAAGATAATGTGGTGGAGATATGTGGGTGACACTGTCACACACAGTGTTGAAAATAGAACATATCTCTCTCTCTAGCTTCTTGACACACATAAACTCACTAGTAGGAGGAATAAAATTCACATTTGAATCGAAAAACGAACAAGGAGAATTAGCTATCATGTTAGATTGTAAGATAAAACGTATAGAAGAAGGCGAACTACACACTAGTGTTTGTAAAAAACCAAAGCTTTCCAATAGATACGTAGACTTTAATTCATCTCATCTGTTATCTGTCTGTGAAGGTAGGCTTAGCTAAGTGTCTAACCAACCGAGCAGTAGCACTAAGTAGCACAAGAAAAGACCTAAATGATGAATTAAAACAGATAGAAGAGGCGTTGGTGTTCAATAACTATCCTTTAAAATTCATTAGCAGGATCAAAAAAGTCAAAAGCGAAATAAAAATAATGGTGGAACTAGTAATGATAACATAAATAAGAAAGAATATAAGGCATCTACTGTTATAACATATAAGGAGGGAAGGGACATCTGAGACCCTAAGTAGGATCTTTACTTAAAAAAGCAGGAATCAGAGTCTCATTTAAACCTACTAACTTACTCACAAAGGACAAGCTCTGTAGGCTAAAGGACCCTGTAGGTTGACTTAATAAGATAAAAAAAATATATTTTTCAAAATACCTTGCAATAACTGTGAGGTCAACTACATAGGTAGAAACTAGTAGGTCAGGGGTAGTCAAATCGGCGGAACATAAGAATTTAGCTAAGGGAAGAATGATTGACCTCGAGAAGATGAGTAATTTAGACGAAGAAAATTCAGCAATTGCACTTCACACATTAACACACAACCACACACTAGGGAGGTACACAGTACAAATTCTAAAAAGTAATATAGGTAGGTAGAAATAGAGAGAGATTGATTACTGAATCCTGCCTGCTTCATCAAGTGTTCACCCAACACAACACAAGGAACAGAAATGACTCAATGCAAATACCAGAAATATAGATGGAAGATATTATTACCACCAGTCAGTCAGTCAAATCAGAGGAGGATAGTGAATGATCTTAAAATTCTACTTCAATTCAATTCACGTACATTATAACATTCTAACAGGCTACTTATTTTGACTATAAAAGCACTCGTCTTATTTCCCATCTGATTGTAGTTGATTGATAACACTCATATTATTATTTCTGAATGTACATTATCCCATATTGATTGATTTTTATTCAAATGTCTAATCATCAATTCCACACATGTACATAGATGAACCGTGAAAGTTGTGTGAGTGACTTGATATGAATATCAGTGGTAATAAATTGTGCTCGAAACGTGGTCATCAGTTAATATTACTGCATAACAACACTGTGTGATTTATCAAAATAAAATCTTATGTATACTGAAATTTATCCTTATAAACTTATATTTGTAAAATCTCGGCGAAATTGAAATGATTAATTTCAACGTTTCGTTCGGCTCATGACTGAACAAAACAAGAAATGTCCTGCTTTTTACATATAAACCTCTGTTATGTCAATTTCGATTAATTTCCCTGAATTATTTTGGACCAGATTGCCGAACGAAACGTTGGAATTAATTATTTCAATTTCGCTGAAATTTTAAAAATATAATTTTATAGATGTCTACTTCTCACTCAGCGCTCAATTATTTTGCAGTTATCCGGTCAAATCTTGATCACAGTTCATATGAAATTTATCTTTGTTTATTTGGATCGGAGAGACACTAACTAACCGTTTAAGGAATCTACAGTTGTTGATTTACAGGGATTTGATTGATTAGATCATAAAGTTACATCAGATAGGCAATCACTGAGAGAACGGATAGAAAGAGAGAGACGGAGTACTGGAAAGCTGTTTCAAACACCCTAGGTTCCACTGGTTCTACTGACATATCACTTCCTAGTGTAGTTACTTCAATGTCGTCTACAGGATAACAACAGATGGCAGTGAAATCTACGGCGTGCATCTTATCTCACTTGTGGACTCCTGGGCAGTACGCACTAATGATCCCATCAGGATCTTCAGGTTAAAACTCCACTCAGTTGATCATTTGGTAAACTAGTCAGAATCCAATGACCCATGAATTCTGAATTCCTAAAATAAGCTCCCGTAACCGCCATCCAAACTCAATGGAATCAAATCCCTGAAAACTAAAACTTGAGAGTTAATCTAATTCTGTCTAGTGACTAATTACAAGATGAAGTCGCATGAAGTTTTAGTGCGACGTCGTGACCAGTGGGATGCAACAAAGTCGATGAAACCAACTGGCGGTCGAGCTATACACAGGGAATTGATTAAAGTTAGGACTGATGAAGCATTGGATTTCCTCTCAGTGGTGTAATCGTGAAATGTCTCACCTTATGACCTGAAGGTGTTGGGTAATTAATTTTGAGAAGTCTCAAAGCAGGACGAAACAGCAATCCAGTACTCACTGTCTGGCTTTTAATGGTTCTTTGACTGATGTCTGAAAGTTCATAATCGAACTTGAAAATAAAATGAATTACTAACGAAGGTAGGTGTGTTCAAGGAAGGGGATTACAGGCGGTCATTAATTTATTATTGTCCTCCAAGTGAGATTCTACTACTAAAGTTCAGTTAGTCGACACGAATCATATCTCTTCCAATGAAGTATATGTATATACATTTTTAATTCGTTGAAGGCGGTAGTCAAGAAGCCGTAGGTTAACGATAGAACAGACAGACACACGACATAATTTACTAGCTAGTGTCCAAGCAAAGTATCCATTACAGCTCTGCTGTATGAGGTAAATCACCAGTTCGAAGAGCCTAGCGGTAACTTCTCTGACCGCGGCACTGAGTGACACGAATCCGAATCCCAAAAGGGACATAAATTCCTTGAAGATTTCAGGTACGCACTACTGACAACTGCTAACAAGCTTGATACCTAGGTCAGTTAGCACTTTCCACGGATCGCCTTCAACCAACCACCTAACAACAATTCGAAGTTGTTATGACCGAAACTGCTGTGGTGAGAGCTGTTTGCTAACCAAAATTGATAGACAGCAATTTACGTCAATTTTACGTCCCATGTCTTGGTCATGAGAAAAAAACAAGAACAAAGACTAACTCAACAACCAATCACAGCAGACCTTGCATGGGCGGAT